AGGAGGACACAGAACCAGATTAAAGGGCCTCCCCCATGGGCCATACGTTGGATAATTGAGTATTAAAATAAATAATGACAGTGTTATAATCTACAGAATCAAATAAGATGGCTGGGCGTAGTGACTCACGCCTGTAATCCCAGCACTTTGCGAGGCCAAGGTGGCGATCACTTGAGGCCAGGAGTTTGAGACCAGCCTGGGCAACATGGCAAAACCCCGTCTCTACTAAAAATACAAAAAGTCAGCTGGGTATGGGGGCGGGCGCATATAATCCCAGCTACTTGGGAGGCTGAGGTGGAGGATCACCTGAGCCCCGGAGGTGGTGGTTGCAGTGAACCAAGATTGCGCCACTGCACTACTCCAGCATAGGCAACAGAGTTATACCCTATCTCAAAAAAAAAAAAAAAAAAAAGATACAGAATAAAATAAGAATCCAAGAGCCCATACAGTTAAGAGCTTCCTTACAATGGAATACCAACTCTTCACCACTTCTGAGAATGAAATAATAATAATAATAATAATAAAGATAGAATACCAACTGTCTTGTAGAAGAGTGATATAGAAGAAATGATGAAAATAGAAAAACAGCCATTTGACAACCATCAGAATAATCTTTACATAATCTGAAAACACTTCACCCAAAATAGGTTAAAATAGTAATTTTAGATTGAAGAAACCTGGCAATGGTATCCTTTTTTTTTTTTTTTTGAGATGGAGTTTCACTCTTGTTGGCTAGGCCGGAATGCAATGGTGCAATCTCAACTCACTGCAACCTCCGCCTCCGGGGTTCAAGCAATTCTCCTGCATCACCCTCCTGAGTAGCTGGGACTACAGGCATGTGCCACCATGCCCGGCTAATTTTTGTATTTTTAGTAGAGAAGGGGTTTCACCCACGTTGGCCAGGCTTGTCTCGAACTCTTGACCTCAGGTGATCCATCCACCTCGGCTTCCCAAAGTGCTGGGATTACAGGTGCCCGCCACCATGCCCAGCTCATTTTTTATATTTTTAGTAGAGACAGGGTTTTACCATGTTGGCCAGGCTGGTCTTGAACTCTTGACCTCAGGTGATCTGCCCACCTCGGCCTCCCAAAGTGCTGGGATTACAGGCATGAGCCAGGGCGCCCGGCCCGACAGTATCCTAATCAAGTGATCCAGGCACACATCACCGGTAGCAGGACAGAGAGACAGCAAGTGCCTCCTGGTGTGAGGAGCTGAGGACGGCACCGCTCTTGTGGTATTCTTGCCAAACATTCATAACCTGGATTGATTCTTGAGAAATATCAGAGAAGCCCCACTGAGAGGCTCAACAACATAACTGGCCTGCACTCTTCCAAATACCAAGGTAAATGAGAGGCAAAGAAATACTGTTGTAGATGACAAGAGACTACAGAGTCATGACCCCTAAATGCAACGTGAGATCCCGGACTGGATGCTGGAACAGAAAAGTACGTTTTCCCTTTTGTTATAACAGTTCACAAGTGGCAAGATCTGAATGAGGCCTATAGATAGATACGAATATTGTAAAAAAAGAGGCTGGGTGTGGCATGTGGTGGTGGGCGCCTGTAATCCCAGTTACCCAGGAGGCTGAGGTGGGAGAATCACTTGAACCTGGGAGGTGGAGGTTGCAGTGAGGTGAGACTGTGCCACTGCGCTCCAGCGTGGTCAACAGAGCAAGACTCTGTCTCAAAAAAATGAATTCAATAAAAAAGAGTGTTCTGCTAACGTTACCCACAATATGCAATTCCGTAGTGGTACCGAAGGCTTTGAAAATCAAGTAATAGGAAGACAGCCCATTAATTCCAGGCCACAAGCAGCCCTGGAGAGAACAGAAATTCAGGAAAAAAAAAAAAAGAGAGAGAGACAGAAAAGGTAGGATTATCATACTCAGTTCTGGGTTCAAGTCCCGGCTCAGCTGCTGTCTGGCTGCACAACTGGGCAGACCCCCTGACCTCTCAGGTCTCATTTCCACCAGATTTTCTGGCGAACAAGCCACAGTCTTCATCACTAAGCTACAAAATGTATTTTGCATGAGTATGTATGTAAATAAATAAGTCATCTTTTGATAATAACATGAATTCTGTTTTTTTTTTTTGAGAGAGAGTCTCGCTCTGTTGCCCAGGCTGGAATGCAGTGGAGTGATTTTGGCTCACTGCAACCTCCACCTCCCGGGTTCAAGCGGTTTTCCTGCCTCAGCTTCCCAAGTAGCTGGGATTACAGGTGTGCATCACCACGCCCAGCTAATTTTTGTATTTTTAGTAGAGATGGGGTTTTGCCATGTTGGCCGGGCTGGTCTCGAAATCCTGGACTAAAGTGATCCACTCGCCCTGGCCTCCTTAAGTGTTGGGATTATAGGTGTGAGCTACCATGCCTGGCCTAAAATGGATTCTATTTTAATATCAGTCAATCACAAAACAATCCCCATAGACAGCCCTCTCTTAGATGTTAATATTATTTTCACTAAAAAAAGGATGCGAAGAAATGGCATCCTTAGTAGAATGCAGCTGGTAAGTTTCCCTCCAATTCTGAATACATTTTGCAATCCTGTTAGTTCTTCTTCTGTAATAATTCTGCTCTTTCAGTTCTCCTCCTCCCCTCTTTTTGGTGTGTCTAATTTGCTTTGCATGCATTTCTTTGGAGCTCGCATGGCTTTGCATTTTAAATACCAAGAGTACATAAAAATAGCCATTTTGAATCCATAACACCTCTGGAATATTTCCACCCATAGGCACTTAAATATAGAAACTTTTATTCAAATAGCTCACACTATGATTTTGCTTTATTATTCTAAGAGCTCTGGAGTTTAGGAATAAATCACATGAAAAGGAGGTAGTGCTGGGACAATGCCAGCATGCCCCCTAGTGGGCAGCAGGAAACATTTCATTTTTAATAAGGGTCCAGCCACGTTAACATGTTCACTGTTCAGTTGCTAATCTTTGAAGAATGAATTGCATATCTTTATAAAAGAATTCCTGTGCATTATCTTTGGCTTCTTAAGCAGAGAACGGTGAGCATGAGGAAACCTCTCTATCACGACTCAGGTCCATTTCTTTGGACCATTTGTAAGATTCCATCACTGAGTGAATTTCTGTGCTAGCTCCAATTTGGTGCCGCCCCCTGTGCCTGTGGGATGTCCGCGTGGTGCAGACAGTGTCTCGGTGTTTCCAATTCCAACAGTCTCACTACTACTAATGCTTCTAAGACTCTATTTTTTAAATATTATTTTTAAGTAGAGAGGGGATCTTGCTATGTTGCCTAGGTTGGTCTTGAACTTCTGGTCTCAAGCAAAACTTCCACCTCAGTCTCCCTAAATGCTGGGATTACAGGTGTGAGCCACCTCCCCTGGCCATGCTAATGCTTCTAAGTTTGCAGTCTCAAACTTGTGAAATTATCAATGGGCCTCACTTAACACATCCTCTTCAGGATAAATATTAATAAGTAATATTAAGGCATCCTAATGTGTTAAGAGGATGGATCCTGACCTTCAGGGAGATTTGGGCCATCAAGGGCACGATAATATATAAAGGATTGCTGTAAAAGTGTTAGAACACCCATTTAAAATAGGCTATTCTCTTATTTAGTATCTTGTGTCTATACTTTCTTCCATCTCACTTAAAAAAAAAAAGACCCACATAATTTCTCGGAAATAAAAACATAATAGCCCTTTTAATAAAAAGACAAAAGTGGTCGAGACTGTGGCTGGCATGTTCTACATAATTTACATTCCTTAAAGTTTCCATTAAGTCTTTTTAGGAAGAAAAGATTGTCCTCATTTGTTTCTGGCTTGCAATTATACATTTCTTGACACTTTTCAAAACAGAGACACTAACGGCAAGAGACTTTTTCACCTGAGAGGTCTGAGCAAAAGCTCTCTTTACCTGTTAATAATCTTAGGAGTCTATCATGGCAGCAATTGACATGTGACCCTTACAAGTCTTCCTTATTTTGTGGCTGTAATCACACGGGAAGGTCATTTGTCTAGGTTTTATCTCTGTGTATCTGTCAGGCTTAGAGATGGGCAGAGAAACAATTCTTTGGAGAGACTGTTTCTCATTCTTGGACTAACAATGAATACCACATATTTGTCTACAGATTAAAGAAATTACTCATTAAAAAAAAAAAATGTATACACGTGTATGCACAGTGGAGGGAAGGCCAGGGAGAAAGCAAGGGGAGAAACAGTTATGGCTTATACTCACTTTGTACTCTGAAGAAATAGGACTTGTTTATATTTCACGTAAAATATTAGAAGGATTGGCCAGGCACGATGGCTCATGCCTATAATCTCAGCACTCTGCGGGGCCAAGGTAGGTGGATCACTCGAGGCCAGGAGTTTGAGACCAGCCCGGCCAACATGGCAAAATCCCAACCCTAGGAAAAATACAAAAATTAGCCAGGCGTGATGGTGCACACCTGTGATCCCAGCTACTAGGGAAGCTGAGGCAGGACAATTGCCTGAACCTGGGAGGTGGACGTTGCAGTGAGCCAAGATCACACCACTGCTTTGTAGCCTGGGCCACACAGCAAGACTCTGTCTCCAAAAAAAAAAAAAAAAAAAAAAAAAGTATATAGAATGCTAGTACAATCTAATAGATATCTTTTCCTGGGTAAATACTATATTAAAGAACAGAGCACTTCATTTTTAAAAGGTAAAGTATCAGAAAGAGTGTGTGTGACATCAATCATTAGAGAAATTACGGTAAATTGTTCAAAATGATACACAGTTTGGCAATCAGATTGGGGAAGGTGCAGGAAAGCTTATTTTGATTCAGTTCTTGGGAAGAAAAGATGAAAAGTTAACACCTGCATACCAAAAGAAGATAGCAAAAATGAAAACACAGCAGAAGTCCTCTACTGTTTGGGGATGTCATTCTTTTCCTCCTTAACCTCTTGGGATTTTTGGATACTATTTTAAGATTCTTCACTGAAATATTTTCTAGGAGAATTAGCTCCCAAAAAACAGCTATGAGGCTTTAACTTGAAGAAAGACAGAACGTACATACTGCTTTACAACTGTTGGCTATCAGGCTGGCAGTCTTCTTGAAGGTCTTCTCAAGGTAGTGTGCAAATCTTTCATTCTCATTTTCCTTTGACCCAAGCTGAAGAAATTCACCTATAAAGAAGGAAAAAGAGTCATTTGAGAGGTGGTTTTATTGCCTAGCTACACACCAGGACTGAATAACAAAGAAGAAAAATCAGAATCAACGTACCACGCACCAAATCTTCAATAACTTGGGTTAAAATAGATATAACAGTTGTATTTCCAATTCGTGCCAGAGCTATAGATGCTGCAGAAAGAATTAAATCTCCAGCAAGAACAGCCTAGAAAAAGACAGGGGGAAAACAAAACGTTCAGAAAAATTTATCAGAGCAGTAGAGCCAACGATGAACCTGACTGGAGGGGAGCTTCGTGGAAGTGGGGGCTCATCTTGGATGCAGGTGTTTTTACCTTCCTCTTCCTCAACAGGAGTCCGTAACAATCAGCTACAGATTTGGACAGTGTTTGAACTGGATTGGCTCTCAGAGATGACCATGTCACTCTTCCCAGTTCGTAACAATCGGTTACAGATTTGGGACAGTGCTTGAACTGGACTGGCTCTCAGAGATGACCATGTCCATCTCCCCAGTTGACAGCTGAAGAAATCAATGCCTGGAGAGGGAGAGCAGTTTCACCCACCAGCCCCACCAAAATGCAGCTGCCTTCAGTTTCACTACAGTGGATGTTCACTCTTCCCTTATGCCTTTCCACTTACTGTTCCTTCTGCTCAAAAAGTTCTGCCCCCTTCTTCACTGAGTGGACTTATTTGCATAATTAGTTCAGTTGCCACTTCTAAGAAGTCACCCCCCAACCCTAAGTCTAGTCAGATGCCTCCCTTTTGTGTGAGTACAACACCCGTGCATGCTGCGACCATCACATCTTGCATACCAGTCAGTGATGCTCTAGTCTCTATACTCCCAGGTCAACGGGGAGGGTGGGGTGGAGCCGGAGCTCGGATTAGGAATCATCTCAGCAGGTACTGAGCACACCCCAGAGCATGGCACGAAACATGTTATTTTCAATGAAAATTAAACCAAAGAATTTTGCCTCCAAGTGAAATGCTTTTTGTACTATGTGACACTGCCCCTCATTCCCAGACACACAAAAAAATTTTTTTCCATTGAACACTAAGCAATCAACATCTTTCCAGTCTTCTTTAGACTGTGATGGATGTCTACACTGTACTAGCAACTAGTTATAAATTACTGCATAAATAGTTGAATTATATGCTATAATGAAATACGTGCTATGTATATTAATTTGCATATTTAAAGATATATATGTTATATTCAATTTTTTTTTTTTTGAGAAAGAGTCTTGCTCTGCTGCCCAGGCTGAAGTACAGTGGCACGATCTCAGCTCACTGCAGACTCTGCCTCCTGGGTTCAAGCGATCCTTCCACCTCAGCCTCATGAGTAGCTGAGACTATAGGCGTATACCACCACGCCCAGGTAATTTTTGTATTTCGACTAGAGATGGGGTTTCACCATGTTGGCCAGGCTGGTCTCAAACTCCTGGCCTCAAGCAATCCAACTGCCTCAGCCTCCCAAAGTGCTAGGATTCCCAAAGTGCTAGGATTCCAGGCATGAGCCACCAGGCCCGGCCGTTAAGTGTTATATTCTGTAGTAATTAGTCATAAAGGCTAGAGTTCACAGAATTTTCAACACACCTATTTTAGGTACTTATCGTCTTAGTTCTTTGGTATCTAAAATAGTGATGTTCAGTGTGTTTACCAATTAATCACCACTTTATGTAATATACATATTATGTAAGAGATCCTGATGTAAGTATATGCTTATAAAGTCATTTTACAAATTATGATATATAGGTACCCACTTACATTCTCCCACTCAGCCCCTACATCATTAGCAGCTCAGGGCTCAGGATCCATTGGCTTTTACTTCTTTCTTCTCCTGGCTGGGGGGATCCTAGAGACCAAAAGGTCCAGCATATGACATGGAAGCCACAGGACTGTGGACAGCCAGGGGTGGGAGTTAAAGGAAAGAAGAGATAGGAAGCCCAGGCCAGGCCTAACAAGGGCTCACCGAGAGGGCACAGCGTGTGTGGGTTTTTGTACCAGTAACGTAGCATTTGTGGGTCAGAGGCAGAAACAGGTAGGAACTGGCAAGTAGCCCTGTGCTAAGTAGATGGCTGTCAGAACTGAAAGAGGCAGGTGAGAGCAGCACATGTGTCCCTGGCCTGCCCTCAGAAAGAGGCCCCTAATGGCCGAGGCAGACACACAGGGGCTAGCCAAGGTGGAGACCATCATTTGTTCTCTTGATCCTCTTCCCTAACCCAAGGCTCCAAATAAGGCTTTAGGACTGGCCCTGCCTGAAAACAGACACAGCTGATTGCAGGGACGGGTCACAGAGTTACCCACGTCCTCTCCAAATCAAAACGCCATCTGCTTTTTTGGCCAACCTTCTGATGTACAGAATTTAGTCAACAGGACGTAAAGCCTTTCCATCTAAAATTTGAAATAAAAGGCATATAAATGAAATTGCAGGACTCCATTTCAAAACAAAGTCATTTATGTTCAAATAACATCAGCATGTGAAGATAATAATAAACATATATATGTGTGTATGTGTGTGTGTGTGTGTGTGTATATCTTCTTTTAATACGGACAATAGGAATTAACCAGGAATACTATAAATCTGTGAAAGAAAAGGAGGTGAAGGTGGGGTAGTTCTAGTTGCACACACCTTTTTTTTTTTTGAAATGGAGTCTCACTCTGTTGCCCAGGCTGGAGTGCAGTGGTGCAATCTCGGCTCACTGCAAGCTCCTTCTCCCAGGTTCAAGTGATTCTCCTGCCTAAGCCTCCTGAGTAGCTGGGATTACAGGCGCACGCTGGCTAATTTTTTTTGTTTTTTTAGTAGTGACAGGGTTTCACCCTGTTGGCCAGGCTGGTCTCAAACTCCTGACCTCAGGTGATCCGCCCGCCTCAGCCTCCCAAAGTGCTGGGATTACAGGCGTGAGCCACTGTGCCTGGCCTGCACAAACTTTTTGTTTGCTCTTCAGTGGAGGCACGTGTGTGGTGATGGTGATGGATGCCTGTGCATTTTCATTCTCATCTGTTCAACTTTATTCTCATCCTTTAACCCAGAATCTATGCATCCTTAAACCAAAGTCCCTGTTTCTCATATTCCCAATGCTAATAATACAGAAATATGCTTTAATATATACATATACGAACTAAATCCAATTACAGAACTTCTATTTCAAAAGATAGAATTTTCATGGTAGAACAGTATCTCTGAGGTTTCTTTTTCCTTTTTTTTTTTTTTGTTTTGTTTGCTTTGACATTTATATGCAGCACTCAAACAAATGTTTAAAAAATTAAACTGAATCTGGGTAATCTAAGCCCAAAAGTAAAATGTTTGATTCCTCATGAAATACCCTTTTTGGATACCCATGAAAATCCCTTTCCTCATAACCAAAGGAATTCTATTAGAAATACTAAGTTTATTTTTCCATGGTATTTTTTATTATTTATTTATCAAATATCTGTATATAGACAAGACATGAATATGTCTTTGAAATTCAGAAGACCATATTACATTTGAGCAAACGTATTTTTAATGAGACAAATCTGAGAAACAAATGCGGTCCAAAAAGCGTGTGATTCAGTAAGACAGATTTAAAAAAAAAAACAAAAAAACCATACCTTCTTTTCACCCCAGATCTTATTAACTGTGTGTTTTCCTCTTCGAGAACTTGCATCGTCAATAACGTCATCGTGAACCAGACTAGCAGTGTGGATCATTTCTGCAATTAAGGCTATGGTGCGCTGGCTGGCTTGCACATGTCTAATTAACAGAAAGCAATGCTTTTTTAACAGACGCCGCCTAGAACCTTCTCAGCAATCAGCTTGTGAAAACTGGACATCGGATCTAGGATAAAGAATGTTATTTCTCTAAGAGAAACAGTATAAAAACTTTGGCTTCACGATAGAGCCATTTCTATACATTTACAAACGTATGAGAAACCCTGCCACAACTACATTTTATGAATTCCGCATTAAAGAAGTAGAAATTGTACAATTAACCAAAAATGCAGTAAACGATCAGAAGTCTGGCTGATCTTATTGGGCTGAAGAATCATCTGTATGACAGTGTTCTTGGTCAGATGTTTAAGTCTGTAAGTTTACAATTAAATTTTGGGGTGGATAGGGAAGAGAGGCGAGAAGCATTTTTAAAAAGTATTTTCAAGACTCAACTGTCTCAATGTTCAAAGCTTTTAATACTGTCTTTTTTTTTTTTTCTTTTTTGAGACAGGGTCTCGCTCTGTTGCTGAGGCTGGAGTGCAGTAGTGCCATCCTGGCTCACCACAACCTTCGCCTCCCAGGTTGAAGTGATTCTGCCACCTCAGCCTCCACGAGTAGCTGGGACTATAGGTACACACCACCCCACACAGCTAAATTTTATATTTTTAGTAGAGATGGGGTTTCACCACGTTGGCCGGGCTGGTCTCGCACTCCTGACCTCAAGTGATCCGCCCGCCTTGGCCTCCCAAAGTGCGGATTACAGGCCTAGTAATTACAGGCCATGGATTACCGCAGCCTGCGTAGTAATGTCTTAAATTAAACATTTAGTGTGACAATCTCAGTAACCAACAGATGTTTGTAAAACTCTTCCAACTCACATTTAACCTTCTCATTAGAAATTTAAACTTTTATTTCCCAAATTTAACACAAACTATAGAATAAGTAGGCTCAAGAAGATAGTATGCAGATAGGAATTTTACAGTTCAGAGGGAATGTCCCCCATTTTATTTTAATCATTATTACCACCATCATCTACGGGAATTTTTATTTTTATTATTTATTTATGTGTTTATTTATTTTTTGAGACAGAGTCTTGCTCTGTCACCAAGGCGCCCACCAGGCGCCCAGGCTGGAGTGCAGTGGTGCGATCTTGGCTCACTGCAAGCTCCGCCTCCTGGGTTCACGCCATTCTCCTGCCTCAGCCTCCCGAGTAGCTGGGACTACAGGCGCCCGCCACCATGCCT